ACAAATAATAAATCTAACAGATAGGCAACGCTTCAGTCTTCATGTGGATCTCACACACTCCTCATCCTCACACATCTTCTTCATAAGAGTTGAGCTCATTGAAGAGGGACTTTAAAAAGAAAGAGAAATCGATTCTGGCGGGCGTCGTTCTCTCTCTCTCTCTCTCTCTCTCTCTCTCTCTCTCTCTCTCTCTCTCTCTCTCTCTCTCTCTCTCTCTCTCTCTCTCTCTCTCTCTCTCTCTCTCTCTCTGTGTGTGTGTGTGTGTGTGTGTGTGCGTGACAGACTTTTGTCTTGACGCGCAAATGTTTAAAGGCATTTGCATGAAGAATGCTTGCCAAAAGATGACAGAAAAAACGGGAACGCCGCGTTAAATATTATAAACACATTACTCGCATGACAGCATACGCCTTGTCTATATGTGAATATGCAAAAGACAGACGTTTTTGACAATATTTTAGATTTGACTGTAAAACGCCACCATGAAAAAGGCAGCGTGCAAGCGGGAATGTAATCATATGTTATATTTAATATAAATCATATTTAATCATATATCATTCGTATATTTATAAACAATACTTTATTTGTTAAAAATACTGTAGTAGGATGAATTGCAGGGTGGGAACGTAGTTCACCTTATTTAAACGAGTTTCTGAGTCTCGAATCTTCATTCGGTTCGATCGACTCATCAAAAAGAACCGGTTTCAAAGAACGATTCACTGACTAATCATCAGAAATGCCGGTGTTTTGATCGCTAATATCCCGAATTACACTCAGACTGAGTTCTGCTTCTCAACTGCCAGGTAAGTTCATTACAGGGTTGCACATCAGTTAATATGTTGATATTGTAAACATTTAAGCTAAACAGCTGTAGGCTACGTGTAAACACACAATCACAGCAGGTCAAAACTGATTATAAATGGCAGGTGATATTGTCTATCTGTACAGTGTGCTAGCAGCGAAATACATGTGCTGATGGTTTAAGACAAGATGAGTTTTGTGAAGAAAGGTTTGCATCGACAGGCCCCAGATATGAGATCATATGTGGGCCAAACATTGCTTATGGTGTTGGTTTTGGAATATAATCATATTCTTCTTGATAGAGCTTGCATACAACTTTTGATATCACTATTATAATGTTTACAACATTCAGTGAAAATCCAGCTGTTTTTTAATTTACTGACAATGTAGATTTGTCCAAAAAAAGTTCAGGAAGTGAAGTAAATAAAAACATTGTTATATAATAACAGAACACTGAAGTAAAAAGTGACTTTATATATTCAATCTTTACATGAACCACAAACACAAATAGTGCTGCAGTGAGTGAAATCAATTGTGAAAATTGTCTTGCTTAAACAAAAATACAAACAGTGCAAATGATTTTCATAAACTATAAGAAGGATTTACACAAACGAAACTTAACACTTGGATAGTGTGCCAATTATCTCGGCCTGGGTCAGGGGTTGTGAAGTTTAACTGGAACAATTGTGTGTTTGATCAGTCCAGTTGTTACATACTAAAATTATGTATTGCTTATAAATAAAACATTAACCTATTACTTTGGGTTCAGTAAGTCCTGGGCTGCTGCATGCCTGCAGAAACTCGACTGGACTTGCCGTGTGGCGTGTGAGGGCCCAGATGGCAAACTGACATTGAATCAACGTGGAAATATGACATCGAAACAACGTTGATCTGACATTGTTTTGCTCATCGAATTAACGTTGAACCAACGTCAGACGCGTCATTCTTTCAAAACTAACGGAAAATCAACTTGAAATCAACGCGTTGTTTCAACGTTATGAAAGCAAACCAATTTTCGATTTTCATTTAGCTTTGAAGAATGCCGCGTCTGACGTTGGTTCAACGTTAATTCGATGTCAGTTTGCTATCTGGGGGTGTACTTGACCCGACTGCACTTCATGTTCAGCGCGCTTGCTTATCCACCAGGCAACATTTTGTTTTGAGGAAAGCAGGAAGAAACGCGCTTTCGCTGATAGACTGCCTAACAGATTTAGCATTTATGCCGTGCAGTGATGTTCACTTCAGTAAAGCAGGCACCCTAACCCTAAAGGTGGATGGCTCTGCTATGGAGTTTCAAACTATTTAAAAAAATCTGGGGGAGATATTTGATTCAAGCTTAACATTTGATCCACATGTCCAGAACACATCATTAAAGTGTCATTTTTTCCCATGCTATCTTTCTCCGTGGTGGAAAAAACTTATCAACACGTTTGTTTTTTCTCTCTCGTTGACTTTTGTAATGCTCTGCTCGCTGGGGTCTTTAAATCAACTCTAAACAAATTGCAATATGCTCAGAAATTAAATTATTTGAAAAGTGTAAAAATGTAGAATCAAAGTAGTGATAGATGTTTGTTGTCATAATGATGACTGTAGCGCACAGCTGTTGTGGTTAGTGATCACACGTGTACCGCACCCAAGCCCAACTGAACCGGATCTGGTCCACCTCTTCCACACGGGCCAGGGACAACTCAGCGAACCACACCCGGGTACGGTACGGAGTGATCACACTACACGTGTACCGCACCCAAGCCCAACTGAACCGGCTCTGGTCCACCTCTTCCACACGGGCCAGGGACAACTCAGTGAACCACACCCGGGTAAGGTACGGAGTGATCACACTACACGTGTACCGCACCCAAGCCCAACTGAACCGGCTCTGGTCCACCTCTTCCACACGGGCCAGGGACAACTCAGCGAACCACACCTGGGTACGGTACGGAGTGATCACACTAGGCGTTTACCGCACCCAAGCCCAACCGCAAGCAACTGCTGACCCCAAATAGGCGATCAGGCATTCATAACAGTGCATGTGTGTTTTGCTTTCGTGTGTAAAGTAAAGAGCACTTCCGCTGTTAATGTTGGCATACATACAAACGCCATCATTGGAAAAAATGGAAAGTGAAAAATGCCATAAATGATTTCCTTATTCTCTTCAACACCTTTGCTGACTTCAAAATGACCTGTCCAGGGGTTTTCTTGCAATCTCTTGAGATACGGGCAGATCTCGCACAGATAGGATGGTGGCTGAAAAACAGAGTAGGGAGCCTGACAAGTCAACGACTCTTCTGGCTCAAGGTTTACTTTGAATTGCATGTATGTTTGAGAGGTGAAGCTGTTGGTTATAGCAGTGGATGGAGGGGATATGCCTCCTCAACCTTTGAGGCAGTAAAGCCTGAACACTGATGCTCCATGACACGGGCATCAAGCTTCCTCTGACACATCATCTCACACTAGGGGGATTACAGCAGACACATGTTCAATGTCGCACCCGTCCCTTGTGCCATCACCTTTTAAACAGAATGCAGCTAAATCAGCAGTGTCATACTTTTTTTTTTATGCCGAAACGTCAATCACTTCATTCTGGATGGTTTTGGAAGTATACTTTGTATTTTGTGGGATATTTGGTGTGATGTAAGCAAGTATTTCTCTTTTTCCAAAAAAGCCCTGCATTTACGCAATCCTCTTCATTGTCAATGTTTCCCGGTCCCCATGTAGTGGAAGCTCATTGACCTCTATAAATATCTTAGGTCACCTGCCTATGATGCTAAAACCGCCAGTATTATCGTAGACGATACACATCGCCAACCGTTAACATATTTACTTACATATTGCTTGAGACGTATTGATATAAATATTATAATTAAACTCTATTGAAGTACTTCTTTATTACACAATGCACATCTCTTAATATTGAACCTAAAATGTGTTTTAATCTCACTATTATTAAGGATAGTATGATATTTGTATAATATCAGTTTTTAAATTCAAGATATTTTTAAATTCAAGATATTAAAGGTACAAGCGGTACTATTATTAAGGATAGTATGATATTTGTATAATATCAGTTTTTAAATTCAAGATATTTTTAAATTCAAGATATTAAAGGTACAAGCGGTACTTTATGTACCGCTTGTACCTAAAGTATACTTGCAATAGTTCAAGTTTAGCACAATCAATTATACTGAAGTTTTTTCAATTTAGCAGGCTTTAAGTATACCAATTTAGTAAATGTATTTGTGGAACACTTTGGCAGTTTTAGTGATGCTTACTGAGTCAGTCCTAGAGCTCCCCCGTCCGATGTTAGGGGAGAACCGGGTCCATCGGAGACGCTTATGCGCTGGAAAAACACCACAGACACAGTGTAATCAGCATGGGGAAATCTCACAGTAACACTGGGAGCTGGAAGAAATATGATACACCGGTGTGTCGCCAAATAAGAAGTTCAATGAGTTCAAATAAGTTATCAATGTATCATCTTAATTCATTTCATAACTGTATCACATATCTCTTCCTTTTAATTCCTAATTCCTTTTATAACCATTTTAACCTTCCTTGCTTTTATTTTGCGATTATTTTAATTCTTTTTTTTGTGTGTAAAGCACTTTGAATTGTCATAGTTTATGAAATGTGCTATATTAAGAAACTTGCCTTGCCTAACTTAGGATAAAATAAATGTATTTCAAATACATTTTACTATATTTATTTTTCTTTTGGGCATTTCTGTTTGAAATGTTTTAGAGAATGAGGGACTTGCCCATGTATTGTGTTCCTCCTCATTCAGGCTGTCATGTCTAGTTTAAACCCTCTTTGCTAATAGTTCTGGCGATTACATGTGTAAATAGTATTGAGTTGGATGTGGTAAGGAGGTTCTACCATATTAAGAAAAACAGGAACTGACCAGCAGGCACGATGTGACTCATTATCAGAACTGTTTCATGACCTCACACATTACATCTTTATTATGTCATGTCTTTAGTTGAACAGATACTTCTCAAACCTTCCAGTCCCTGAGCAGATAGACAGGTTTGTCAGCCTTCCTCTCATTTCTCTCCCACTATGTCATTTTGGCCATTACAAATATGTGCAGTGCTTAGCTAGACCCATCCAAAGAACCTGTAATACTAGTTTAAACCACACCCGTTCAGGTTTTAAAAGGAGATGTACCTCAGTCAGCATCTGTACTTTGCCTTGGATTGTTCCAGTGTGTCCAGTGTCTCCAGCCTTGGATTGTACCAGTGTGTCCAGCCTTGGATAAGGTTCCCTCTCCGGTGTATTCTCAGTGCCATGGCTTCAGCTGCATGGTCTCCGGAGGCGTTTGCGTGCCCGATATGCTTGGAAACCCTGAGCGACCCTGCCACGCTTCCCTGTGGACACACGTACTGCCTGGTGTGCATCCAGAAGCACTGGGACCAGCCCTCCAGCAAGGGCTCCTGCGAGTGTCCTCAGTGCCGACAGCGCTTCACCCCGAGGCCCGTGCTGGCCAGAAGCAACGTGCTGATGGAGGCGCTGGAGAAGCTGAGGCTGAGCGAGCGGGACGGCCCCCCGTCGGTGCCCGTGTGTGCGGAGCCGTCCGGCCTGTATCCCACTCTTCCCACGGGATCACCGGAGCTCTGTCCGCTTCACCAGCAGCCGCTGGAGCTGTACTGCTGCCTCGACCAACAGCGCGTCTGTGACGAGTGTGGCCTTCTGGGACACAAGGGCCATCAGGTGGTGCGTCCGGATGAACAACAACACAAGATTCAGGTGCGCGGCTGCATTTCATTTTCATTGCATTTGTGTGTGAATCACACATCATAATATGTAAGGGACGATGTGTGTTCTCACTAAGAGGCCAGGGCGAGGTCACATAAACACTGTCTTAAGAACTAGTCTGACCAAATAGCAGTTAGCCAAGAGAGACCAGTCTATGTTTCTAACTAATCACCAAATGACTGTGAACACCATATACTACGATCTGTCTACGAACATTTAACAGATTAGGGCTGAACGATCATATATCGGGATCCTTTTTGTTCCCTCACTATTGTACACTTTGGGCCTTTGTATCAATATTTGTGAGTTTATGTATTCATCAGTGTTCTCAATCATTGCGCATTAAAAAGTCATTATTCCTTATGAAATGAAAAGTTTGAAGTGCGCTTCTGGTTTAGCGGTATAAATGGACCAGCACCAGAAGAGCTTCTTTCTAATCCCATCTGTTGTTTGAAGTCAGTGTAATACTGCTGTATGAATGTGAGGACTTTCAAGTTCCCGAACTCATGTGTGACACTGACACAAAAGAAGCAAACGTGTCTTCAGAAGTGTCAAGAAAAGATCAGCAAAACCTGCATTACTGAAACTGCACTGTCCACATACAACCTCTTAATAGAGAAACATCTGAGGAAACATTACTGATCACTCGCTGTGTTTACAGGGACACTATTTGTTTTTCAATCCGAAAATTTAAGAGAAATTTAGATTGCCTGACTGTGTTTCAAATAAGAGGCTTCATTGAATGGATGAATCCTTCCCAGCCTATTCCAAGATACATCGTGCTGAATGTTTTTTAAAGAACATTACACTTTTAAATGCAACTAATAAGTTAAAACTTCCTCAAATATCTAACGATACAAAAAAAGAAAAGAAAGCTATTCAAATGTTGACCTATGTTAATAAGATGAGATTTTGTTTAGTTTCTACATGAATGGACCACGGTCTCAACATCTTTAGACCCTGTTTTGTTTTCAGACAGTTGAATATAACTTTCAAAAGTCCAGTACGAACGCCACTGCTGGCAGTCACCGTTGCTAAGCAACAAGAGCAATCCTCCATAGACCGTCCCAGTAACCAGCACGCGGCCTGGGGAGGAATGGCCTTTGGATGGGGACACGGCTTATGTTCAACAACAACCGCTAGTTCTTACATCATTACATGCCATCACGCCGTGTTTGCAATCTGATCTGTTTACATGCACTATCAAACCTTAAACCGCCCCTTACATCCCAGTTATATTCCAATCAAATTTGGCCAATTCATTCCTATAGCTGTAGTTACATGGGACTCTTATCCCGACGTAACGACTGAAGCTCTTGAATTGATTAGTGTGATCTCTATAACTCTTTAGCATACGCGTGATTTTGCTTGCTTTATGATTTTTTACTGCTGCTTGACACTTACAATAAGATAGGGTTATGGTTATTTATTGTTTTTGTTGTGCGTGTGTGTGTGTGTGTGTGTGTGTCTTGGACTGTGATACATTCAATTGACATTATACTGTGTATCTTTGTGATTATACAGCAAGAGCTGATAGGATTGAACACCCGGATCGAAGGGAGCATTGCAGACCGCGAGAGGGTTGTTCAGAGCCTCCCCCAAGCCTCGGAAGCACACCAGGTAAACGCGTCTCGGGTAAACGCTTCTCAGGTAAACGCGTCTCAGGTAAACGCGTCTCGGGTAAACGCGTCTTGGGTAAACACGTCTCGGGTAAACCCGTCTCAGGTAAACACATCTCAGGTAAATCCGTATCAGGCAAACCTGTCTCAGGTAAATCCTTATCAGGTTAACGCGTCTCAGGTAAACCCGTCTCTGGTAAACTCGTCTCAGGTAAACTCGTCTCAGGTAAACCCGTCTCAGGTAAACTCGTCTCAGGTAAACCCGTCTCTGGTAAACCCGTCTCTGGTAAACCCGTCTCAGGTAAACCCGTCTCAGGTAAACCCGTCTCAGGTAAACCCGTCTCAGGTAAGCGCGTCTCAGGTAAACCCGTCTCAGGTAAACCCGTCTCAGGTAAACCCGTCTCAGGTAAACCCGTCTCAGGTAAACGCGTCTCAGGTAAACGCGTCTCAGGTAAGCGCGTCTCAGTTAAACGCGTCTCAGGTAAACCCGTCTCAGTTAAACCCGTCTCAGGTAAACCCGTCTCTGGTAAACCCGTCTCAGGTAAACTCGTCTCAGGTAAACCCGTCTCAGGTAAACTCGTCTCAGGTAAACCCGTCTCTGGTAAACCCGTCTCTGGTAAACTCGTCTCAGGTAAACCCGTCTCAGGTAAACCCGTCTCTGGTAAACCCGTCTCTGGTAAACTCGTCTCAGGTAAACCCGTCTCAGGTAAACCCGTCTCAGGTAAACCCGTCTCAGGTAAGCGCGTCTCAGTTAAACCCGTCTCAGGTAAACCCGTCCCAGGTAAACCCGTCTCAGGTAAACCCGTCTCAGGTAAACCCGTCTCAGGTAAACCCGTCTCAGGTAAACGCGTCTCAGGTAAACGCGTCTCAGGTAAACGCGTCTCAGGTAAGCGCGTCTCAGTTAAACGCGTCTCAGGTAAACCCGTCTCAGTTAAACCCGTCTCAGGTAAACCCGTCTCAGGTAAACCCGTCTCAGGTAAACGCGTCTCAGGTAAACGCGTCTCAGTTAAACCCGTCTCAGGTAAACCCGTCTCAGGTAAACGCGTCTCAGGTAAACCAGGTAAACCCGTCTCAGGTAAACCCGTCTCAGGTAAACCCGTCTCAGGTAAACGCGTCTCAGGTAAACGCGTCTCAGTTAAACCCGTCTCAGGTAAACCGTCTCAGGTAAACGCGTCTCAGTTAAACCCGTCTCAGTTGAACCCGTATCAGGCAAACCCGTCTCAGTTAAACCCGTCTCAGGCAAACCCGTCTCAGTTAAACCCGTCTCAGGTAAACGCGTCTCAGGTAAACGTCAAGTCAAGTCAAGTCACATTTATTTATATAGCGCTTTTCACAATACAGATTGTATCAAAGCAGCTTCACAGTGATAACATGAAAGTAGCACAACACAGATCAACAACATTGCTAAACACTAAATAACCCCAACTGAGCAAGCTCAAAGCAAGCCAAAAGCAAGGCGACAGTGGCAAGGAACCAAACTCCATCAGATTGGATGGAGAAAAAACCTTGGGAGAACCCAGGCTCAGTCGGGGGCCAGTTCTCCTCTGGCTTACATTCATATTGTTTAAATATAAATATTGTTTATGAATCAAACGGCGCCATAACATATCGCAGGCGTTGAGTCGTCTCATCACAGGCGTTGAGTCGTCTCATCACAGGCGTTGGGGCATCCGAAATCCCCGTGAGAGGCTGGACACAAAACTGGACCTGACGAACGCCATTTTTCTCTGGACAAGCGTCCCGAGATAACAGCAGAAAGGCAGATGGGAAATAATTAGCATAGCTGATGTTCATAATGATTTCCGTTATAACTCACAAACTCTCCGTAACCTGGACTCTCCGCAACCCAACCATACGCACCGACCCGTTTGTCTAAAAGGCTGTCGAGCCCCACTGGTGCGTTAAGCAGTTTCAGTGGCAAACGGTTCCGTATGGCATAACAGAGGACTAGAAGGTAAGCATTATGTGAATGCTTGACTAAAGAGACGTCTCAGGTAAACCCGTCTCAGGTAAACGCTTCTCAGTTAAACGCGTCTCAGGTAAACGCTTCTCAGTTAAACCCGTCTCAGGTAAACGCTTCTCAGTTAAACGCGTCTCAGGTAAACGTCTCAGGTGAACCCGTCTCAGGTGAACCCGTCTCAGGTAAACCCGTCTCAGGTAAACTGTCTCAGGTAAACTGTCTCAGTTTAAACCCGTCTCAGGTAAACGCGACTCAGTTAAACCCGTCTCAGATAAACCCGTCTCAGGTAAACGCGACTCAGTTAAACCCGTCTCAGGTAAACGCGTCTCAGGTAAACGCGTCTCAGGTAAGCGCGTCTCAGTTAAACGCGTCTCAGGTAAACCCGTCTCAGGTAAACCCGTCTCAGGTAAACCCGTCTCAGGTAAACCCGTCTCAGGTAAACCCGTCTCAGGTAAACGCGTCTCAGGTAAACGCGTCTCAGGTAAACGCGTCTCAGGTAAACCCGTCTCAGGTAAACCCGTCTCAGGTAAACGCGTCTCAGGTAAACCCGTCTCAGGTAAACCCGTCTCAGGTAAACCCGTCTCAGGTAAACCCGTCTCAGGAAAACGCGTCTCAGGTAAACCCGTCTCAGGTAAACCCGTCTCAGGTAAACCCGTCTCAGGTAAACGCGTCTCAGGTAAACCCGTCTCAGTTAAACCCGTCTCAGGTAAACCCGTCTCAGGTAAACCCGTCTCAGGTAAACCCGTCTCAGGTAAACGCGTCTCAGGTAAACGCGTCTCAGGTAAACCCGTCTCAGGTAAACCCGTCTCAGGTAAACCCGTCTCAGGTAAACGCGTCTCAGGTAAACGCGTCTCAGGTAAACCCGTCTCAGGTAAACCCGTCTCAGTTAAACCCGTCTCAGGTAAACGCGTCTCAGGTAAACGCGTCTCAGGTAAACCCGTCTCAGGTAAATCCGTCTCAGGTAAACGCGTCTCAGGTAAACCCGTCTCAGGTAAACGCGTCTCAGGTAAACCAGGTAAACCCGTCTCAGGTAAACCCGTCTCAGGTAAACGCGTCTCAGTTAAACCCGTCTCAGGTAAACCGTCTCAGGTAAACGCGTCTCAGTTAAACCCGTCTCAGTTGAACCCGTATCAGGCAAACCCGTCTCAGTTAAACCCGTCTCAGGCAAACCCGTCTCAGTTAAACCCGTCTCAGGTAAACGCGTCTCAGGTAAACGTCAAGTCAAGTCACATTTATTTATATAGCGCTTTTCACAATACAGATTGTATCAAAGCAGCTTCACAGTGATAACATGAAAGTAGCACAACACAGATCAACAACATTGCTAAACACTAAATAACCCCAACTGAGCAAGCTCAAAGCAAGCCAAAAGCAAGGCAACAGTGGCAAGGAACCAAACTCCATCAGATTGGATGGAGAAAAAACCTTGGGAGAACCCAGGCTCAGTCGGGGGCCAGTTCTCCTCTGGCTTACATTCATATTGTTTAAATATAAATATTGTTTATGAATCAAACGGCGCCATAACATATCGCAGGCGTTGAGTCGTCTCATCACAGGCGTTGAGTCGTCTCATCACAGGCGTTGGGGCATCCGAAATCCCCGTGAGAGGCTGGACACAAAACTGGACCTGACGAACGCCATTTTTCTCTGGACAAGCGTCCCGAGATAACAGCAGAAAGGCAGATGGGAAATAATTAGCATAGCTGATGTTCATAATGATTTCCGTTATAACTCACAAACTCTCCGTAACCTGGACTCTCCGCAACCCAACCATACGCGCCGACCCGTTTGTCTAAAAGGCTGTCGAGCCCCACTGGTGCGTTAAGCAGTTTCAGTGGCAAACGGTTCCGTATGGCATAACAGAGGACTAGAAGGTAAGCATTATGTGAATGCTTGACTAAAGAGACGTCTCAGGTAAACCCGTCTCAGGTAAACGCTTCTCAGTTAAACGCGTCTCAGGTAAACCCGTCTCAGTTAAACCCGTCTCAGGTAAACCCGTCTCAGGTAAACCCGTCTCAGGTAAACCCGTCTCAGGTAAACTGTCTCAGTTTAAACCCGTCTCAGGTAAACGCGACTCAGTTAAACCCGTCTCAGGTAAACGCGTCTCAGGTAAACGCGTCTCAGGTAAGCGCGTCTCAGTTAAACGCGTCTCAGGTAAACCCGTCTCAGTTAAACGCGTCTCAGGTAAACCCGTCTCAGTTAAACCCGTCTCAGGTAAACCCGTCTCTGGTAAACCCGTCTCAGGTAAACTCGTCTCAGGTAAACCCGTCTCAGGTAAACTCGTCTCAGGTAAACCCGTCTCTGGTAAACCCGTCTCTGGTAAACTCGTCTCAGGTAAACCCGTCTCAGGTAAACCCGTCTCAGGTAAACCCGTCTCAGGTAAACCCGTCTCAGGTAAGCGCGTCTCAGTTAAACCCGTCTCAGGTAAACCCGTCCCAGGTAAACCCGTCTCAGGTAAACCCGTCTCAGGTAAACCCGTCTCAGGTAAACCCGTCTCAGGTAAACGCGTCTCAGGTAAACGCGTCTCAGGTAAGCGCGTCTCAGTTAAACGCGTCTCAGGTAAACCCGTCTCAGGTAAACCCGTCTCAGGTAAACCCGTCTCAGGTAAACGCGTCTCAGTTAAACCCGTCTCAGGTAAACCGTCTCAGGTAAACGCGTCTCAGTTAAACCCGTCTCAGTTGAACCCGTATCAGGCAAACCCGTCTCAGTTAAACCCGTCTCAGTTAAACCCGTCTCAGTTGAACCCGTATCAGGCAAACCCGTCTCAGTTAAACCCGTCTCAGGTAAACGCGTCTCAGGTAAACGTCAAGTCAAGTCAAGTCACATTTATTTATATAGCGCTTTTCACAATACAGATTGTATCAAAGCAGCTTCACAGTGATAACATGAAAGTAGCACAACACAGATCAACAACATTGCTAAACACTAAATAACCCCAACTGAGCAAGCTCAAAGCAAGCCAAAAGCAAGGCGACAGTGGCAAGGAACCAAACTCCATCAGATTGGATGGAGAAAAAACCTTGGGAGAACCCAGGCTCAGTCGGGGGCCAGTTCTCCTCTGGCTTACATTCATATTGTTTAAATATAAATATTGTTTATGAATCAAACGGCGCCATAACATATCGCAGGCGTTGAGTCGTCTCATCACAGGCGTTGAGTCGTCTCATCACAGGCGTTGGGGCATCCGAAATCCCCGTGAGAGGCTGGACACAAAACTGGACCTGACGAACGCCATTTTTCTCTGGACAAGCGTCCCGAGATAACAGCAGAAAGGCAGATGGGAAATAATTAGCATAGCTGATGTTCATAATGATTTCCGTTATAACTCACAAACTCTCCGTAACCTGGACTCTCCGCAACCCAACCATACGCGCCGACCCGTTTGTCTAAAAGGCTGTCGAGCCCCACTGGTGCGTTAAGCAGTTTCAGTGGCAAACGGTTCCATATGGCATAACAGAGGACTAGAAGGTAAGCATTATGTGAATGCTTGACTAAAGAGACGTCTCAGGTAAACCCGTCTCAGGTAAACGCTTCTCAGTTAAACGCGTCTCAGGTAAACGTCTCAGGTGAACCCGTCTCAGGTGAACCCGTCTCAGGTAAACCCGTCTCAGGTAAACTGTCTCAGGTAAACTGTCTCAGTTTAAACCCGTCTCAGGTAAACGCGACTCAGTTAAACCCGTCTCAGGTAAACGCGTCTCAGGTAAACGCGTCTCAGGTAAGCGCGTCTCAGTTAAACGCGTCTCAGGTAAACCCGTCTCAGTTAAACGCGTCTCAGGTAAACCCGTCTCAGTTAAACCCGTCTCAGGTAAACCCGTCTCTGGTAAACCCGTCTCAGGTAAACTCGTCTCAGGTAAACCCGTCTCAGGTAAACTCGTCTCAGGTAAACCCGTCTCTGGTAAACCCGTCTCTGGTAAACTCGTCTCAGGTAAACCCGTCTCAGGTAAACCCGTCTCAGGTAAACCCGTCTCAGGTAAGCGCGTCTCAGTTAAACCCGTCTCAGGTAAACCCGTCCCAGGTAAACCCGTCTCAGGTAAACCCGTCTCAGGTAAACCCGTCTCAGGTAAACCCGTCTCAGGTAAACGCGTCTCAGGTAAACGCGTCTCAGGTAAGCGCGTCTCAGTTAAACGCGTCTCAGGTAAACCCGTCTCAGGTAAACCCGTCTCAGGTAAACCCGTCTCAGGTAAACGCGTCTCAGTTAAACCCGTCTCAGGTAAACCGTCTCAGGTAAACGCGTCTCAGTTAAACCCGTCTCAGTTGAACCCGTATCAGGCAAACCCGTCTCAGTTAAACCCGTCTCAGTTAAACCCGTCTCAGTTGAACCCGTATCAGGCAAACCCGTCTCAGTTAAACCCGTCTCAGGTAAACCCGTCTCGGGTAAACCCGTCTCAGGTAAACGCGACTCAGTTAAACCCGTCTCAGGTAAACGCGTCTCAGGTAAACGCGTCTCAGGTAAGCGCGTCTCAGTTAAACGCGTCTCAGGTAAACCCGTCTCAGTTAAACGCGTCTCAGGTAAACCCGTCTCAGTTAAACCCGTCTCAGGTAAACCCGTCTCTGGTAAACCCGTCTCAGGTAAACTCGTCTCAGGTAAACCCGTCTCAGGTAAACTCGTCTCAGGTAAACCCGTCTCTGGTAAACCCGTCTCTGGTAAACTCGTCTCAGGTAAACCCGTCTCAGGTAAACCCGTCTCAGGTAAACCCGTCTCAGGTAAACCCGTCTCAGGTAAGCGCGTCTCAGTTAAACCCGTCTCAGGTAAACCCGTCCAGGTAAACCCGTCTCAGGTAAACCCGTCTCAGGTAAACCCGTCTCAGGTAAACCCGTCTCAGGTAAACGCGTCTCAGGTAAACGCGTCTCAGGTAAGCGCGTCTCAGTTAAACGCGTCTCAGGTAAACCCGTCTCAGGTAAACCCGTCTCAGGTAAACCCGTCTCAGGTAAACGCGTCTCAGTTAAACCCGTCTCAGGTAAACCGTCTCAGGTAAACGCGTCTCAGTTAAACCCGTCTCAGTTGAACCCGTATCAGGCAAACCCGTCTCAGTTAAACCCGTCTCAGTTAAACCCGTCTCAGTTGAACCCGTATCAGGCAAACCCGTCTCAGGTAAACGCGTCTCAGGTAAACGTCAAGTCAAGTCACATTTATTTATATAGCGCTTTTCACAATACAGATTGTATCAAAGCAGCTTCACAGTGATAACATGAAAGTAGCACAACACAGATCAACAACATTGCTAAACACTAAATAACCCCAACTGAGCAAGCTCAAAGCAAGCCAAAAGCAAGGCGACAGTGGCAAGGAACCAAACTCCATCAGATTGGATGGAGAAAAAACCTTGGGAGAACCCAGGCTCAGTCGGGGGCCAGTTCTCCTCTGGCTTACATTCATATTGTTTAAATATAAATATTGTTTATGAATCAAACGGCGCCATAACATATCGCAGGCGTTGAGTCGTCTCATCACAGGCGTTGAGTCGTCTCATCACAGGCGTTGGGGCATCCGAAATCCCCGTGAGAGGCTGGACACAAAACTGGACCTGACGAACGCCATTTTTCTCTGGACAAGCGTCCCGAGATAACAGCAGAAAGGCAGATGGGAAATAATTAGCATAGCTGAGGTTCATAATGATTTCCGTTATAACTCACAAACTCTCCGTAACCTGGACTCTCCGCAACCCAACCATACGCGCCGACCCGTTTGTCTAAAAGGCTGTCGAGCCCCACTGGTGCGTTAAGCAGTTTCAGTGGCAAACGGTTCCGTATGGCATAACAGAGGACTAGAAGGTAAGCATTATGTGAATGCTTGACTAAAGAGACGTCTCAGGTAAACCCGTCTCAGGTAAACGCTTCTCAGTTAAACGCGTCTCAGGTAAACGTCTCAGGTGAACCCGTCTCAGGTGAACCCGTCTCAGGTAAACCCGTCTCAGGTAAACTGTCTCAGGTAAACTGTCTCAGTTTAAACCCGTCTCAGGTAAACGCGACTCAGTTAAACCCGTCTCAGGTAAACGGGTCTCAGGTGAACCCGTCTCAGGTAAACGCGACTCAGTTAAACCCGTCTCAGGTAAACGCGACTCAGTTAAACCCGTCTCAGGTAAACGCGACTCAGTTAAACCCGTCTCAGGTAAACTGTCTCAGTTAAACCCGTCTCAGGTAAACTGTCTCAGTTAAACCCGTCTCAGGTAAACCCGTCTCAGGTAAACCCGTCTCAGGTAAACGCGTCTCAGTTGAACCCGTCTCAGGTAAACGCGACTCAATTAAACCCGTCTCAGGTAAACGCGACTCAGTTAAACCCGTCTCAGGTAAACTGTCTCAGTTAAACCCGTCTCAGGTAAACCCGTCTCAGGTAAACCCGTCTCAGGTAAACGCGTCTCAGTTGAACCCGTCTCAGGTAAACTGTCTCAGGTAAACTGTCTCAGTTAAATCCGTCTCAGGAAAACCCGTCTCAGGTAAGCGCGTCTCAGGTAAACCCGTCTCAGGTAAACCCGTCTCAGGTAAACCCGTCTCAGGTAAACGCGTCTCAGTTGAACCCGTCTCAGGTAAACCCGTCTCAGGTAAACTGTCTCAGGTAAACCCGTCTCAGGTAAACCCGTCTCAGGTAAACGCGTCTCAGGTAAACGCGTCTCAGGTAAACGCGTCTCAGGTAAACGCGTCTCAGGTAAACCCGTCTCAGGTAAATCCGTCTCAGGTAAACGCGTCTCAGGTAAACCCGTCTCAGGTAAACCCGTCTCAGGTAAACGCGTCTCAGGTAAACGCGTCTCAGGTAAACCCGTCTCAGGTAAACCCGTCTCAGGTAAACCCGTCTCAGGTAAACCCGTCTCAGGTAAACGCGTCTCAGGTAAACCCGTCTCAGTTAAACCCGTCTCAGGTAAACCCGTCTCAGGTAAACCCGTCTCAGGTAAACCCGTCTCAGGTAAACCCGTCTCAGGTAAACCCGTCTCAGGTAAACCCGTCTCAGGTAAACCCGTCTCAGGTAAACGCGTCTCAGGTAAACGCGTCTCAGGTAAACCCGTCTCAGGTAAACCCGTCTCAGGTAAATCCGTCTCAGGTAAACCCGTCTCAGGTAAACCCGTCTCAGGTAAACCCGTCTCAGGTAAACCCGTCTCAGGTAAACGCGTCTCAGGTAAACCCGTCTCAGGTAAACCCGTCTCAGGTAAACCCGTCTCAGGTAAACCCGTCTCAGTTAAACCCGTCTCAGGTAAACCCGTCTCAGTTAAATGCGTCTCAGGTAAACCCGTCTCAGGTAAACGCGTCTCAGGTAAACCCGTCTCAGGTAAACCCGTCTCAGGTAAACCCGTCTCAGTTAAACCCGTCTCAGGTAAACCCGTCTCAGGTAAACCCGTCTCAGGTAAACCCGTCTCAGTTAAACCCGTCTCAGGTAAACCCGTCTCAGGTAAACTCGGTGAGCGTGGCAGTGAGTGTTGACAGGCGGTGGGCTGTGTCCTCCAGGTGTCCCTGCAGCAGCTGATGGAGGACAGCCAGGCCGTGTTCGGGGATGTGTTGAGGAGCGTGGGGCTCGGCCAGTCGCAGGTGCTGGAGCTGCTGCACACACACCAGATCTGGTGCTCCACACACACCCAGGCCCAGACGCAGACGCTCCACCAGGAGATCACCCTGCTACGCCAGAAGCAGCAGCAGATCAGGAGCCTGCAGAGCATCCAGGACCCGCTCAGCCTCCTCCAGGTAAGAGCGCCTCCTACCGCACACATTAATAGAGCAGGCATATAACACACAGATGCTAGTGTACGACAAGATTAAGTTTGCTTCCAGTTTGGTCTCTCTGCTCACCAAGAAATGCTATTATTTGATCAACAATACAGTAAAACCATAATATTGTGTAATAAAAGTCCAGTGTAAATCAGCTGCTTTCTATGTGAATATATAGAGTATAGTATTTATTCCAGTGATCAAAGCTGAATTTCAGCATCATTACTCCAGTCTTCAGTGTCACATGATCCTTCAGAAATCACTCTAATATGATGATCTGATCTGAAGTTTTATGCTTATTATCAGTGTTGAACATAAACAGCGGCTGGCCGGTGAAACGGAAACACTGGCGGTCTCATTCCTATATGCACGTTCTCTGACTCTACATTCATCAGTTAGAGTCGAGTGAAGGTTCAGTTAGCAGAGCAAGAGCTGTACATACATTACTGCAGTCCACACGAGTTGAATGGAAGAAGAGTTGGCTCTAATAGAAAAAAAAACACCAGAAAATGTTTCCAGCATGACACAAATTGTATTCATTAGCATTAGCCTGTGGTTTCTCAAAAATATTGGCAATGTTTGCCATGCATTTCTATGTTTGTGATCATGCTTAGAATTACCGTTGGTTATTGTTGATGTAGGATTTACGCATGAGAGAGATTCACACTAAGATGCTTACATGCATGCTCCTCTTGCCATGACAGTGCAATAACAATGAATGTACTATCTAATCTGAACCACTGGACCATAAAAGGGACCGAAAACCGCCTGTTGAATATTATAGGTTGTATTTTAATCAGTTTGAATAGTTTGGTAGTAAAATATGAAAGGTAAAAATGGATTATTGAAATTTTACTAATGAAAATGAGTTTAAAATGTTTTGAATTGAAATATTCATGCTAAATTTCAGCCCATAAAAATGCAAACCCTAAAAATACACTGCATTAAAATGCAAGCAGGGTTAATGCAATGCAGATTTTTTTCGAGTAGTGCAATTCAACAGGCTTTATGTTTCAAAATATTTGCCATTATTTTATCGCATATTCGGTGTTAAGATGGATTGCCGGAATACGTATGTCGGACTACGTTTCTCACACGTGAAGGATGTATTATTTGTCATGAGTGTCAGCATGAGATCATGCATGTAATGACTCCTCAGGCGTTCGCGGCGCTGGATTGCGAGGACCCGTGTGTGAGCGCAGCGATGGAGATCGTGAGTCCGCAGGCGCTGATGATGTCAGAGGTCAGATCCACTCTGCACGCTTTCAGAGAGGCGCTGGAGAACCTCACCAGAACCAGCCTGAGCCGCGTCTTCAGAGTCGGTGAGCACACACACACACACTTTAACTCTGGTAAAATCACATTGCATGCTCTTTCTGGCTCATTGATTTTAGACAAAGTAGTTAATTGCAATAAGTATTTTAATTTGAACTATAATGAAGTTTAGGGTTGCCAAGCAACATTAGCTGTGTTTCCATCCACACGTTTTTATCCGGATTAAGAGATATCCAATGGAAAATGCCTCACGGAAACAGTAAAATCCGAAATCCGAATAAATTTCATGAATATCGACTTAAATGAAATGCTTTCGGTCTCATAGGATTTGATCTTGATGGATATACGGATTATGTGATAAACCAACGCATTCTCATCCCAAGGCGTCATATACTGACACTTTTGCCAATGCGTACTCATCTAACGCACATGGCACCCGTTAGCGTCAATATGACACGCTTCGGTTATGGGTAGGGTTAGGTCTGGGGTAGGGTAGGGTTACACCACTAGGAGGCGCCGTCTGCCCATCTATATCTGCGTCTCATATTGACGCTAAAGGGTGCCGTGTGTGTCGGATGTCTACGCATTGGCAAAACCGTCATTATATGAAGCCTTGGGATGAGAACGGGCTGGATGAACGCTGTTGGAAATGTTATTTGGTGAATAAATAATGAATTGCGATTAAGTTTTAGGTCCTTTTATGGTTCAACACGCCACAAAACATAAAAGAAGACGTTCTCCTTTTCCGGCCAGTATTTCCGCTCTGTTTGCACACACATGGCGGGTGTCAACAAAGACGATGTAAGTGGACTGGGCGAGCCGAGGTGTGTCTGATCACCACAGGCGTCCGGCGCTACATGATCATCATCAGAGCAATGTGGACATCATAGCGCCGTTGTTTTCTTATTATAGCTTGTTATAAAACGGTTGGTTCCAATCCTTGATTCTGATTGGTCAATAGCTGTGCTTTATTCATGATAGACAGGACTATGGCTGCTTCACTGCGGTTCCTGTGTTGTGTTTGTTTGAGCGTTCATGCATATTACTCATCGGAGCTGTTCACGGTCAGGGACTATTTTTTATAGCGGGAGAAAGGCTTTCAGTGATTTTACTTCATGAAAGTTGCACTAATACGTATGTTTTTGTGTCTTTTAAAAAGTGTCAACAAATGTCTTTGCTTTCCTCTCACAAACGTGTTTATTGTACTGAAATGCTTGGTTGCATGTTTAAATCTCACTAAAAATCACTATATATGCACTCAAGGGGTCTCATTCATGAAACATTCGTAAATATACGAGTAAATATGAGAGTGATTTGCGCGTAAAGAGACCTTCCCGAAAACTCTTCTCCTGATTCACAAATACTTTGTAAACGTCAGATGTGATAGTGAAATGTGTGTGTTAGTGAATTCCAATGAGTCGTAAATGGGACGCGCGTGCACAAAATGGTTCGACATTAAGCTTGACCGCAAAAAACGAATTAGTTCACTTGGGAAAAATCGTATTCAAACTGGTGGAGCTCCACCATTGCAGATGATATTACTGGCTCTCATAATAAAAGTCAAAAGAAAAAACGTATGTAATTACTAAACATAATATTGTTTTCAAAAATGCTGTGTGAATATGTACCCGATTAAGGTGAATTAAAATGCAGGCTTATTAATGAGCGAAACGTTCGGATGTTAAGCGCACTCTTTACGCGTGACTGGGAGCAGGTGTAGATTTCTTTTGTAGGCTACCAACTAACATTTGGAAAATACCAACATTTTAATCCGAAAATTTAACCACTTTACACACGATTTACACAAAAATTCGTTCTGCTTGTGTTTCATGAATGAGATTCATTGTGTATTTAAAAAACAAACAAACTGCAAAGCCATTTTTTGATTTAATTTAAAGGAGACCCGAACCTCAAGTTTATATTTTTTTTATCATGTGATTAAGCTCAGATGCCACTAAAGCCCTTATGCTAGAGTAATGCTGTATTCTGACACCAGCTGAACGTGCTCATGAATGTGACTTTATCATGAATAGATCAGTGATCTAAGGATGATAGAGTGAGATATCCCATATTCCCCTGCAGTGAACGATGCGGCCACTCTGGCACAATCATCCAGTCAGTCATGTGACCCAGGCGTCGTCTCCAGCCAATCACAGCCGCCCTCTCTAAACCCAGGTAAACGCACACTATCCTCAGTGGACAATGAACTCCTCTGGCTACATCGCTAATTTTGAAACCGCTTCTTCTCAGCTTCTCAGATTACAGAAGTAAAGTGTGCCTCGGTGACACCGGATGATAAACCCGAAGCCAAAGCTTCATCTCCTGCAACGCAAGAACGTCACACCAATCAAGGCTCTGCCAACCCTGGTAAATAATGATGAACAAGGCGATGATTTCTGTGAATACACCAACCAGTCTCTATGAGTTTCTATATATGATAAATAATGACATATTTGTATAATAGAAGGGAAGAGTTGTGGTTAAAAGTCTCTCATTGGTCTTATTACCTCAACTCTCCATAAAACAAACAAAACAAGGTCTGCAATTTAATAAAGTATCACATTATAAAGACACTTCATATTTAATGATTTCTTAATGACATTCAATAAAACATTTGCAATTGTTTTTTAAAAGGTGTTTTATTCATATTTTTATACATTATAATATTATTCGTTATTGAGTTTTTGCTGCATTTACACGCTCTGACCAGCATGTGGTGTTTTGAGTGCTTTGAATTTCTTCGAAGTTTGGAAAAGCTTTGGTTCACCCATCGCTACCTAAAATATGCATATGTACAGTACACACACTTTGAGTAGGCGTGAAATGTGACCTAGACATGTTGTCCTGAGATTTGGCCTAAACATCTTTATTGTGTCTCTACAGTGGAGGGATCAGCATCGTGTTGTCTAGCTAAACCAGCACCCAGAACCCGGGAGGAAATGCTTAAATGTGAGTTCGGCTGTTAGTGATTTTGTACAAATATGTCCTTTCTCTTTCTTTTAGTGATGTTTAATGTTGTATTTCCTTTCAGTTCGCACCGACCTTACTCTAGATCCCAATAGTGTTTTCCGTCAGATCCGTTTGTCTGATGGCTACCGCAAGGCGACGCTGTGCGCGGAGAGCCAGAACTACCCGGCTCACGCGGACCGCTTCGTGTTCTGGAGGCAGGTCATGTGTGCGGAGCCGCTGGCTGGGGGCCCGAGCTACTGGGAGCTGGAGTGGACCGGGCAAAGGGTAAATATCAGATTAGATCAACAGGTTTAACAGAGTTTTTGTACCAAGTCAAGTCAATGGAGTCGGACAAAAACTACGATAAGACCTGTTGGAAAGCATCTTTGCAGCGATGTTTGTGTGAGCATATCAGCGAACACCCCAGACCACTCGGAGAGTTTCACGTCTTTGTAAACTAAAGTTTAATGCAGCTTATGAAGGATTGTTCCAGTGCACATAGACAACCATTGTGGAGGTGGGGTTGGGTGGGTACTAACACACAAACCTAAAATTCTCGGGACAGCAGCATTTGTCCAAATTTCCTTAACCGTTCTATTTCATCAGAAACGATCTTAAAATGATCGTTTTGAGTGTAAAATACGAAACTAACCCTTTAAGACGCAAAAATGGGAGGAAGACCCCAAAGGAACTTAAAGACACCACTGAAATTGTGATGAATATATATGGTGGACAGTCAATTATGTTTTCTGTTGGCTGTTTGTAATGTAACTGATTGTTACTGCTGGTTGCCAAGGTAACATAGAGTCTTAGACCTAAGTTAGCCTGGGAGTAAGGCGTCTAATTTTTTTGGTCTAAATTAAGTCTTTATTTTTGTAAAACAGTCTAACTTGCATTAGACAGTCTATGGTATATTTTAGACTTGTCTAACACTATATAATGGTATAAAATAGCTTTCTGAAACCGGCCTGGATAGACTGACCCAGGTCTGAACCAGTCTAAGACAGCACCTGATAGACCGACCCAGGTCTGAACCAGTCTAAGACAGCACCTGATAGACCGACCCAGGTCTGAACCAGTCTAAGACAGGACCTGATAGACCGACCCAGGTCTAAACCAGTCTAAGACAGCACCTAATAGACCGACCCAGGTCTGAACCAGTCTAAGACAGCACCTGATAGACCGACCCAGGTCTGAACCAGTCTAAGACAGCACCTGATAGACCGACCCAGGTCTGAACCAGTCTAAGACAGCACCTGATAGACCGACCCAGGTCTGAACCAGTCTAAGACAGCACCTGATAGACTGACCCAGGTCTGAACCAGTCTAAGACAGCACCTGATAGACCGACCCAGGTCTGAACCAGTCTAAGACAGCACCTAATAGACCGACCCAGGTCTGAACCAGTCTAAGACAGCACCTGATAGACCGACCCAGGTCTGAACCAGTCTAAGACAGCACCTGATAGACTGACCCAGGTCTGAACCAGTCTAAGACAGCACCTGATAGACTGACCCAGGTCTGAACCAGTCTAAGACAGCACCTGATAGACTGACCCAGGTCTGAACCAGTCTAAGACAGCACCTGATAGACCGACCCAGGTCTGAACCAGTCTAAGACAGCACCTGATAGACCGACCCAGGTCTGAACCAGTCTAAGACAGCACCTGATAGACCGACCCAGGTCTGAACCAGTCTAAGACAGCACCTGATAGACTGACCCAGGTCTGAACCAGTCTAAGACAGCACCTGATAGACCGACCCAGGTCTGAACCAGTCTAAGACAGCACCTGATAGACCGACCCAGGTCTGAACCAGTCTAAGACAGCACCTGATAGACTGACCCAGGTCTGAACCAGTCTAAGACAGCACCTGATAGACCGACCCAGGTCTGAACCAGTCTAAGACAGCACTGATAGACCGACCCAGGTCTGAACCAGTCTAAGACAGCACCTGATAGACCGACCCAGGTCTGAACCAGTCTAAGACAGCACCTGATAGACCGACCCAGGTCTGAACCAGTCTAAGACAGCACCTGATAGACCGACCCAGGTCTGAACCAGTCTAAGACAGCACCTGATAGACCGACCCAGGTCTGAACCAGTCTAAGACAGCACCTGATAGACCGACCCAGGTCTGAACCAGTCTAAGACAGCACCTGATAGACCGACCCAGGTCTGAACCAGTCTAAGACAGCACCTGATAGACCGACCCAGGTCTGAACCAGTCTAAGACAGCACCTGATAGACCGACCCAGGTCTGAACCAGTCTAAGACAGCACCTGATAGACCGACCCAGGTCTGAACCAGTCTAAGACAGCACCTGATAGACCGACCCAGGTCTGAACCAGTCTAAGACAGCACCTGATAGACCGACCCAGGTCTGAACCAGTCTAAGACAGCACCTGATAGACCGACCCAGGTCTGAACCAGTCTAAGACAGCACCTGATAGACCGACCCAGGTCTGAACCAGTCTAAGACAGCACCTGATAGACCGACCCAGGTCTGAACCAGTCTAAGACAGCACCTGATAGACTGACCCAGGTCTGAACCAGTCTAAGACAGCACCTGATAGACCGACCCAGGTCTGAACCAGTCTAAGACAGCACCTGATAGACCGACCCAGGTCTGAACCAGTCTAAGACAGCACCTGATAGACCGACCCAGGTCTGAACCAGTCTAAGACAGCACCTGATAGACCGACCCAGGTCTGAACCAGTCTAAGACAGCACCTGATAGACCGACCCAGGTCTGAACCAGTCTAAGACAGCACCTGATAGACCGACCCAGGTCTGAACCAGTCTAAGACAGCACCTGATAGACCGACCCAGGTCTGAACCAGTCTAAGACAGCACCTGATAGACCGACCCAGGTCTGAACCAGTCTAAGACAGCACCTGATAGACCGACCCAGGTCTGAACCAGTCTAAGACAGCACCTGATAGACCGACCCAGGTCTGAACCAGTCTAAGACAGCACCTGATAGACCGACCCAGGTCTGAACCAGTCTAAGACAGCACCTGATAGACCGACCCAGGTCTGAACCAGTCTAAGACAGCACCTGATAGACTGACCCAGGTCTGAACCAGTCTAAGACAGCACCTGATAGACCGACCCAGGTCTGAACCAGTCTAAGACAGCACCTGATAGACCGACCCAGGTCTGAACCAGTCTAAGACAGCACCTGATAGACCGACCCAGGTCTGAACCAGTCTAAGACAGCACCTGATAGACTGACCCAGGTCTGAACCAGTCTAAGACAGCACCTGATAGACTGACCCAGGTCTGAACCAGTCTAAGACAGCACCTGATAGACCGACCCAGGTCTGAACCAGTCTAAGACAGCACCTGATAGACCGACCCAGGTCTGAACCAGTCTAAGACAGCACCTGATAGACTGACCCAGGTCTGAACCAGTCTAAGACAGCACCTGATAGACCGACCCAGGTCTGAACCAGTCTAAGACAGCACTCGATAGACCGACCCAGGTCTGAACCAGTCTAAGACAGCACCTGATAGACCGACCCAGGTCTGAACCAGTCTAAGACAGCACTGATAGACCGACCCAGGTCTGAACCAGTCTAAGACAGCACCTGATAGACCGACCCAGGTCTGAACCAGTCTAAGACAGCACCTGATAGACCGACCCAGGTCTGAACCAGTCTAAGACAGCACCTGATAGACCGACCCAGGTCTGAACCAGTCTAAGACAGCACTGATAGACCGACCCAGGTCTGAACCAGTCTAAGACAGCACCTGATAGACCGACCCAGGTCTGAACCAGTCTAAGACAGCACCTGATAGACCGACCCAGGTCTGAACCAGTCTAAGACAGCACCTGATAGACCGACCCAGGTCTGAACCAGTCTAAGACAGCACCTGATAGACCGACCCAGGTCTGAACCAGTCTAAGACAGCACTGATAGACCGACCCAGGTCTGAACCAGTCTAAGACAGCACCTGATAGACCGACCCAGGTCTGAACCAGTCTAAGACAGCACCTGATAGACCGACCCAGGTCTGAACCAGTCTAAGACAGCACCTGATAGACCGACCCAGGTCTGAACCAGTCTAAGACAGCACCTGATAGACTGACCCAGGTCTGAACCAGTCTAAGACAGCACCTGATAGACCGACCCAGGTCTGAACCAGTCTAAGACAGCACTCGATAGACCGACCCAGGTCTGAACCAGTCTAAGACAGCACCTGATAGACCGACCCAGGTCTGAACCAGTCTAAGACAGCACCTGATAGACCGACCCAGGTCTGAACCAGTCTAAGACAGCACCTGATAGACTGACCCAGGTCTGAACCAGTCTAAGACAGCACCTGATAGACCGACCCAGGTCTGAACCAGTCTAAGACAGCACCTGATAGACCGACCCAGGTCTGAACCAGTCTAAGACAGCACCTGATAGACCGACCAGGTCTGAACCAGTCTAAGACAGCACTCGATAGACCGACCCAGGTCTGAACCAGTCTAAGACAGCACCTGATAGACCGACCCAGGTCTTAACCAGTCTAAGACAGCACCTGATAGACTGACCCAGGTCTGAACCAGTCTAAGACAGCACCTGATAGACCGACCCAGGTCTGAACCAGTCTAAGACAGCACCTGATAGACCGACCCAGGTCTGAACCAGTCTAAGACAGCACTCGATAGACCGACCCAGGTCTGAACCAGTCTAAGACAGCACCTGATAGACCGACCCAGGTCTGAACCAGTCTAAGACAGCACTCGATAGACCGACCCAGGTCTGAACCAGTCTAAGACAGCACCTGATAGACCGACCCAGGTCTGAACCAGTCTAAGACAGCACCTGATAGACCGACCCAGGTCTGAACCAGTCTAAGACAGCACCTGATTGAATTGAATTGAATTGAATTGATTTTTATTTAAAGGGACCATGTGCAATTAATAACATAAATGTAAACATTTGATGCATTACACCAGAGTTAGCCTTAGGCTAATTTACATCTGCAGTCCCCCGGCACAAATAAATACAGATACATACGACACAGATTAAAATATCAATACTATTCAAGAATATTTGGCATATCAAACATAAAACATCCAACATTCTTCAAGAGCATATAACATGTACTTAATAACCTCACTGACACGCACACACGCACGCGCGCACACACACACACACACACACACACACACACTCACACACTAAAATCACAACATACAACGATATGTCCACCCACAACCCCTTCTCAACCCTATAATAAAAAGGTAAATGTGACTGAAAAATAATTTTACTTAACAATAAATTAGTGG